ATACTGCCGTTACTGTCAATCTTTCACTGGAAGAATCAGCAGGATGGCTGAGTGGAAAATGCTTGTGGTGTCTGATGCTCTTGGATGTGGTGCAGAAGTTAGCACAAGAATATTTTCCTTAAGTGGTCTTGGAAGGGTTACTGGTCTCCTCAGTGCCTCTATTTTTTCTTTCTTATTTTCACTTTTGTAAAGTGAAGGTAACTTCTAGAATTGTTAGTGCTTTGAAGTAACATGTATAAAATATTACTAATATGAGCAATAATCATTCATAAGAATGGATGGTGATGACAATAATCAGCAAGAATTTATTTAATGCTACTGGCTTTTCATGAATGGCACTTGAAAATCAGCCATATCAAGAATCTAAACCAATTGGAAGACAACAGTAAGAGGAGAATATAGAAAATAGGACCATATCATATTGTGATTAGGTACTTTGGGATCAGTGTGGAAGTAAAATTCTGATTTAAAAAAAAAAAAAACAACTTTTCATTTCTTAATTGAAAGCATGGGATAGAAAGCAGTCAGATAAGCTCATAAAAGGCCTATTATTTTGAGATATAATTTCATCAGAACATAGGAATATTCAATAGGCTAATCCTCCGCCTGCTGTGCCGGCACACCGGATTCTGTCCCGGTTGCCCCTCGTCCAGGCCAGCTCTCTGCTGTGGCCCGGGAGTGCAGTGGAGGATGGCCCAAGTGCTTGGGCCCTGCATCCCATGGGAGACCAGGAGAAGCACCTGGCTCCTGGCTTCAGATCAGCACGGTGCACCAGCCGCAGCACACTGGCTGCAGCGGCCATTGTGGGGTGAACCAACGGAAAAGGAAGACCTTTCTCTCTGTCTCTCTCTCTCACTGTCCACTCTGCCTGTCAAAAAAAAAAAAATGTAATATCACTTAACCTTTATTAAGTGACTGCTACATGCTAGGTATCCCAAACTTTAAGAAGACAGCACTGTTAATGATCTTAAATGTATTTAATTGTGCTCTTTCAGTGTCTAAGTACTCTTTCTGAATCTATAAAATCATAAATTGAAAATATTCTTATCTCAAAATCATTGAATCATGGAACACTGTTAATATTTTCTTTCTTTTTCTATACAGCACACTAAGCATGAAATGAAACCCAACATCAAATAGCCAAGGTCCTTCCCTTGAATAGCTTTTGTTTCTCTCAGTAGACAGGAAAGTCTTTATTTGCTTTGAAGAATGGAAGTATGATGTTGAAGAATTAAAATACATTTACCATATGCAAAGAATTCAGTAAAATCTAATCTCTATAGTACAATATTTGAAATGTGCAATGTTACTTAAAATATAAATATGGATTTACTTTAATCTGGAAGTAGATATTTATAGAAAATCTAAAATAATTCTTCAGCAAATTATTGTTTAAAATGGAGAATACTTTTTGTTTATGAATTTTCAAGTTTTCAGTATTATAATTTGTTCTTTTATAGAGATATGTCTGATATTTAAAAGTTAATTACTCTGGCATCTCTTAAAGTTTCTATTTATGAACCTTCTAAATATTAGATAACTCTAATTTAAAAAGTTTTACATAACCTTTATTATCCACTGAGAGAATATTAAAAAATTCCTAGATATTTAATTAGGCTTGGAAACTTCTTTTCAAGTAGACCAAGGTAGCACTGGATTTACTATGTCACCGTAGGAATAAGATTTCATGAACCACTGTGTAATGATTTCTGCCACAATGTTCAAATGTTAGGCCCAGAAAAACTGGATGGACACTAAGCACTGGCTCAGGAAATCAGAAAGCAACACAAAGAGGTGTAGAAAAACTATCGCTGGGAGAAAACTGGGAGCTCAAGCTGCTGGATATTAAGCAGTCAGTGGAGGATTAACCACAAGGTGAATAATATATTGAGAGGAGAGTGGTTTAAGTTATTAACTCCACTGAAAAATGCTTGTTTTTTTTGTTGTTGTTGTTTTTTGTTTTTTTGTTTTAAGTCACCATTTCCTGGAAAAGATAATGTCAGAGGGGCCGTGATCCCACGGTAATGAGAATATATTGTTTAAAAAAGAGAGCGCTCTCTTACATTTGTACAAGTGTGCCTTGGAGGCCATTACGTATGTAGCAAGTGCAGAGACCCTCCACTGAGAACACTGCGCTTTCAATCCTCAGATTCAGGCTCCCACAGCAGGAAGCCTGAGGAGGAGATGAGCTTACCTGTGGTGATGAGCTGTCTGTGAAACAAGCTCCTAAACACCAGTCTTCATGGTTGACAAGTTTCCTCCCTGAAGAACACCACCCGCTCCCCAGCCCCATCCTCACTGGTGAGAAAGAATCAGAAAGTCCAGGATCGCTAGGTGTCTTGGAGAGGGAGAAGCCACTGCCAGGCAGCTAGTTGCAGTTAGCAAGGCCATTTCTCCAGTCAGAAAGACAGAACAGGGAAAGAGGCTGGAAACCAAGGAAATGAGCCGTTCAGTGTGAATAAAAAGCTAAGCCTACTCTTTGGGTCAGGATGAGCTTAGAGACAGAATTAAGGAGGGTTCAAAGAAAGGTTATAAAAGTGCTTCAATATGCTTCCACAGTAGCATTTACAAGCTAGACGGGTCACAAGGGAGGCTCCATCAACACGAGTTTGTCAAATCAACTGCGTAATGCTGAGTACTTTAGTCCTCTTATGGTCCTTGACAAAGCTTGGGGGAGGTCTGCAACAAAAGAATTTGCTTGATTTTGCCTAATAGTTTATCACATTAGTGATGATTTGAAGTAACATTTACTATCTCAGATTAAAGAAATTTTTATACCTAGTGAGGTTTAGTGAGTTTTTTTTTTTTTTTTTTATCATGAACAGAGATTTCAAATGACTGATCCAAGTTCATATCACAGGTACAAGGTTTGCCCCAGAAATCCAGACTGCTGTCAGGGCACTTGGAGTTGCATCAGCTCAGACACACAGACTCTTTAAGGAAACTGCAGAAGCATGTTTTGCAATCTTGTGGAAAGACAGTTGACAGAATAAATAGCTTTAGAAGGAATTCTAAATTAAGAGTTCAGAAACATCATTTCCACTGCTGGAAGTGTGGAGCCTTGGGAAATGAAACAACCTTTCTAGACTTGGGTTGCATTGCAGTCAGTGACAATTGTTTTAGGTCCTCCAGCAGGCCTCTTGTATTTTTTGGATAATAAAATCTCCTCTCCCGTGAGGATTCATGGCCTGATGGTTTGAGCAGAATTGGCTCTATTTCCCCGTGTCCTCTACTCTCTTAATCATGAGGCTGACATTGACAACTGACCAGATACACCCTTCTTCCTGCACCCACCTCACTCACGGGTTTGTTCAGCAATTGACAAATGACCAAACTGGGTCAAAGTTCTCCCAGGAAAATACAATCTCTTTCTGCTGGAATTGTTGAACTGGTAAAATGTCACCATGGGCAACTGTAGGTCTATATCTAAGTCTTTTATATTCTCATCATGTGGAAAATGCTTTTCCAAGAGCTGGAGAGAGTCTGGATAACATCAGATAGCAATTTCTATTTCTGATGTACCTGTATGCTTGTACTTACAAGTCACATGAGGGAGTCAGTTCGGTTTTCTTTTAAACATTGCCTTGAACTAGATCTATGTTGATTGCAACCCAAAGATTGTTAATTAACACAGCTCATTGTAGTTCGAACCTTTGATGACTTCAGGAAATGTTTATGTTGTTTAAAACAAGGGTATACCATCTTAGAAAGCTCATCTCCTGAATGTAGTAAAGGGAATTTCGCAGTTGATCTCTTTTGTGAATTATGCAGTCATTGAAAAATCACAGTGGTAGAAACGAATAAAACATTGTTTGGAGCTGAATTTGCAGAAAAATATATCTTGCCTCAAGAAATTCACTTATAACAGTTTCTTCAGGCCTTTCCCATTCATGTTCATTGTGAATTTGAATGTATGAAGTAGAGCAAGTGTTCTGTATGCTACCTGAAGATGTGGCGGTAAAGTCAGATTATTATTTATGGAGAGAACAGAGGGTTCTTAATTTATGAGAAGAGCCACAGGTATGTACTGTACACAGAGCTGGATGTCCAAGGACATAGCCGCACAGTCAGGCAGAAGTCAGAATGGAATCAGAAAAGGCCCCTTTAAATTCCATGATCCTTTGCATTCAGCTTCCAAGGTCTAAGTTAGTAGCTTGTGCACAGTCATGCCTATAATGGATACTAAATAATAAATATTTATTGATGATAAAGATAAGAAGGTCTGGCAAGGCTTCTTTTGTCCTTTGGATAGGAGAAAATGGATCCAGCTGACAGAATGTTTGTAACTAGTCCAAGACTCCAGAGAGAAGAGAGAAATGAAGAAGGAATGAACAGTCTTCCACGTTCTTCCCACAATGCTTATCCCTTACCACTCAGTAGTCTTTGGTTCTTTTATTAAGTACTCTAAATGTACATCTTTCTTCCCTCTATTATTGGAAATCAGAATATGCCTGTATTCTTCTTAATATTTTACTTGATAAGTGCCCTTTATTTTCATTGATCTTCAAATTCAGGGCCTCCTTTCATTTCTCTTAACTTAGCTTTTAAAGATTTTCAAGCTTGTACAATATATAATCTTTGACTTTTAGCCCCTTTTTCTTTCTAATTCTTAGATGAAGATTGAAACATATATCTCAAGATATAGATGTATTTGAAAGTTCAAGGAACTTCATATGAATCTTATTTACTGAACATTTTGGGACTATTTACTTGTAACTTTTTCTATACATTGATTGTAAACAAATACATAATGTAAAAGAAAGAATTGGTGGCTGTGAGATGCTTACCTTCAATAGTAGAATAAACATGTTTCAAGAGTATAGAGCATGGGAGACCCTGAGCATGCGAACATGTGCATGCACACCTGCGTTAATCAATAGTACTAAGAATATGAACTACAGGATCCCGCACAACTTACAGGGAGACAAATAAAGCAAAAGAGACACTCCAGATCCCAGAGGATTTTTTTTCCCAAAGCAATCAGACATCTGGAGTCTTGGTCTGTTAAAAATCAATGACTCTTTAATGGCAGTATATCTTCCGTCATGGGTGAGGGAAGGAGTGCATAATCAGAGAGAAATTGCTGAGGGTAGAAGACAAATACAGGAAAGAAAAATCAATGAGGAAACCTGTAACCCTTCCCCCCCGAATAGACCATGTCAATGTGTAGGCTCTTGCATAATTACACATGTGTCTTTCTACTGCTATAAGTTCCAGAAATCGTACAAAAACTTTATGATCTGATGCTTGCAGATGAATCATATGTGTCTGTGCCTGTGTTCTGGGGCTCAAATAGATAGGAACCATCTCATTTTTTTTCAGCATTAAGTTGCAATGCACCATGTACACGAGTGCTTGAAAAATATTATCTGACTGTTTGAATTAAGAGCTTATAAAATATTACTAACTAAAGGAAACCCATTTTAAAATGGGAGAAGGTAGGGCCATGCTCTGTTGTGGCATTATCACAGATGACTAGATGTTTTCTGTATTGATCACTCTGTGCCTGCATTTACTCACTCAAAAATATTTCAGCAAGCAAACTCCTAAAATATTTAGAGAGGGAGGCAATTTACTCATCCTTTCAAAATATGCATAAGTAGCCAAATAAATCAAAAGAAGTCTTGTTTATTCTCAAATATCATATATTGTTATTTAATATAGAAGCAATCCACTGTTTGCAAAGTGCTCAGAGGTATTTTAAAGTGTATCTAATGATCCTTGTAACAGTCCTTGTAGAAGCTCCCTCTGAAATATTTTGAGCTCCACAAATATGATAAGTATTAATATAAATTCAGACTATTTTATCCTTGTAAATGATACACGAGTGACATATATTTTCTTATTTCTAAACTATACTTTCCAAGAATTTTTAAATCACAGCTAATGCTATAAAATTAATCCTGGGCTTTTAAGCAGAAATATCTGAAACGAAGACTAAGTGAGATGGGCCATGGAAACAATTAGCCATTGAGCATTTCAACTCAGACATTAGGAAACAATTACTACTGCTGGAGCTGACTTTAAAACACATCCCATTTGAGCCATTGTGCACATGTCTAAATGGGATTTGGCAGGTGAATAAAAGATTTATTGATTCCTGTTTTGAGGATTGCTGTGGACTTGCTGCTTCAACAGGCTTCAAACTAGCTTTGAGTCTCACAGAACAAACTGAACCCTGGAATCTTTTCCTGGCATTGCAATCCCTAAAATGACAAGTATAATAAGCCAGGGCTAAGGAAGGCTCTAAACTGCATGCAGAACAGCTGCTGTGTGCTGTTGCAGAAGTTCAAAGGGCCACAGGCTTTGTGGGGGGGGGGGGGGGTGGATTTGCCGTTATTAGTCTTAAAACACCCAAGCAGTTCCTACGAACAGAGCCTAGTAGCCTGAATGTGTACCTAGAAGAATGACTTACTCCCTGGCCCACTGGGTTTTGCTTTCATGGCTTTATCCAGTGAGAACACAGAGATCTGGGACATTTAAGGCACTGGTTAGATAGTGTGAAATCCAACAGGCTTGACACTGCCATCTACCCAGGCCTATCTAGGTGTCTCAAATCTTGCTTTGATTATTGTAAATATTATTTCCTGAGTCCAGTAGCACTTGACTTGTGAGAAAAAAAAATCTACCTAAAATATCAAGATTGGAAAGATAAAAAAGGTTTTTAAGACACATAAAGGATTAAGGCATGAGACATGAGATAGGGAATGTGAAACAAATTAACACAATGGAATCGTAGAATTGTAATGTGCTTCTGGAATCCGTCTTCCCTGAGGCCATCCAACTGCTGAGAGACCAAAACCAACATTTCTAACCTCTCAGTTCAGTGTGTCTTTCCCTTCCTCACTCAGAATCAGCACAGGAAGACACTGGAACAGGAAAGACTCTGGATCCGGTGAGAAGCCAGGGGTGGTTGAAAATCAGAAATCACAGCTCATCGCCCAGGTATGGTTTCAGACTTGACAGGGTAGTAGGACCTTTGCGTTGACTTCCTTCAAGGTGTCCAGCACTCGAGTGCCTACTCAATTTTCAGAGAGAGAGTGGGGAGATTCATGTCAACAGTCTTAAGGAAAATAACGTCTGCCAACAATTGGTTAAGCAGTGTACATGGAGGCCACCCAATTAGGCTTAAGAGGCATCAGTGGTTTTCTGCCCAGCCAGAGAGCCCGCTAATCCACCAGCTGTGCCTCCTGAAAACCTCTCCCTGTGTCTGCAGAAGGGCTCTGGGAAGCCTCAAAGGAGTCCCCACGGGCAGTGGCAGATCAAGCAAGCTTTTACAGGACGCGGTCTTTCTCCCCCAGGGCCTCCCCCTAATTACTGAGCAAGTGGTGGACTTAGGTGTGGGATGGCAGGACCTGCCTGTCTGCATTCACCCCCACTCCCAACTCACAGTCTGTTAAGGCTGGCATGGCTCTCTTAGGTGAAAAACAGAAAATGCCTTTCAAAACCTATTTTCTTTACATTGTGTCTGTGGGAAAAGACTGACACTCCATAAACTCAGGGCAGGTTTAGAAAGTTTCACTTAATGCATTTGTTAGTAGGAGGGATGAAGACAGGCAAGGCAGACTGAGAGAGGGAGTGGTGTGGGGCCCAACAAAGTGGTTGCTGTGTGCCCATCAGGGAATAGGGAGTGTAAAAAGCTCCTTGCCTCATCTATAAAAACCAGACCCACTTGGCATCTCTAAGTAACAAATGGATCTCAGTGCGGGAGAGATGAGTTTTTGGCAGGGAACAGTCCCTAGAGTTTTGTGCATTTCAGACTGGGTGTATTTCCCCCGAATGCATAGATCACAGATTACAGAACTATGATCATGTGTCTTTCTACCTAAGGACCACATTTTCTAGGTTCTGCTTTGTCTCATGATCATGATTTCTGGGAGTGAGAGAATGAATGTGGATAGTTGAGGACAAGAGAAGCTTAATTTTGCTTTGGAGGTGCAGGAAAGAGAGAAGAAGCATGAAATAATATTAAGGGGAACAAGACAGAAAGATAGTAGAGGTCTTTAACCCTGGAAAGACTCCTCTTACCTGAAAGACATGTATTTTAAAGAAAATCCTCTGTTGTATAGGAACTAGAATCGACCTATATAAGATCTGGGCCCACCCCCACCTTCATGTCTAAAATGGCTGTAAGCATGCACATGGCACATATGAAAGCACAAATGAAATTCTTACAAACTCTAGCTTTTGATCCCAAATAGACTTGCTAGAGAGCTAAATTCACTGGAGGACTAATAAACCGGTGGGAAGAAGGGACCCTTGATGGATTAGAACTACAGAAGCCTGAGTTAAATCTGACGACCTCTGACTTGCCCCATGGTGAACCCCTTGCTTTGCTTTATTTCTCCCTCTGAAACATGGAGGCGACAGGTTAACTTGGTGCCACAGAACTGTCTACAAACTAAGATGTCTCCATTCTCCATTCCACCCATTAGCAAAAGTAAACTGCCTTACATACTGGCCCCATCTGTAGATTAGTAACCCTGCCCACCCCCCCATACTAAACAAAAAAAGCAAACAAACAATCCAAACTGGTAAGAAAACCCTTACCTATTGAAAAGAGAACAGGCAAAACTTCAACCCCCACCCCCACCCCTACCCCAGCCTGACATTCATTAGCGTTCAAAAAACCGTATTAGGTTACACTTTCTGACAGGATTTAGAGAGTGCCAGGGCAGGTAAAGGTACACAGGATGCCAAATGGCACAAACTCTTTGACTCACTGGCATTGTTACACCAGTGGTGTTTCTGCCTGAAGTAAATGAGCCACTTTATATAAGTAGTTAATTTTATCCAGTATTACAGCTGCTACGGTGAAGTCTCTGATTAATTGCTACAACATTTTAGGGGATCCTTTATATTCTTGAAAATATTTAGAATCCAAGCCCAGACATACAAATGAACTTAAAATCCTTTGTCGCGGGTAAGCTTGAAATTAATGTGTCCCTTGGGTTATTTTCACAGGCATGGTTTTCCAAGCTCTTCTTTCGAACACTGTTCAATTTCTGTGTCCTAAATGTGCCATGACCATGACCATCTGTAAGTCTAGCCGGGGCCAGCCTTCGCAGCGTTGGTTGCAACAGTCATGTCTGACATTCAGGACCTCGGCTAAATCCTCTGATACCTCTGCTTGGCCTGGGGCTGATCGAAACCTCTGCAGAGGACCTGCGGTTTGCTCTCTTTCTCTCTAATTGACCAGTAGTCATTGCTCATCCTTATGGAGTGAAACGTGGCGTTTCTCTGCATGTATACAGCTGTGGATGATCAACTCGGGCTCACAGCCTCAAACGTTGATCCTTTCTTCCAGTCTCATTTCGGCTAGCAAAGGTATTGTAGGGGAAGACAACAATACACCGCGTGTGTCGGTAACGGAGAGCGTCAACCCCGCCTCGCCTTTCACACGCTCCTGGAGCAGCACCCGACCGACGCCGTGCCGCGGGCCGCGGGCGCTGGCCGGGGCGAGGCGCCCTCCCCCACGGGCCGGCCCCGCCACCCCTGCCTTTCATTAGCGGCGTAACCCCGTGTTCCCGATGGAGCCGGCCAGGAACCCGCGGGGGGCCCTCTCATCGTCACGCCTACCTGGGGGACCGCTGCGCCCGGGGCTCAGGGCTCTCTCCATGTCGCCCCACCCTCGCCTCCTCGGGACCCCCGAGAGGCGAACCGCATCTCTCCAAGGCGAAATTCCCCTGGCCACGGAGCAGACTCTACAGCTGCCCGCCCCCCTCTGCCAGGGAGCGCAGAATGACCACGAAGGAGGCCAGGAACAAAACACTTACAGGTCGCATTTATTAAGGAAATGTTTAAGAAAGAAAGTCGAAACGGTGTCACGGATGTCAAGAGCACTTTTGTGGCGTAAACCGTGCAGTCACGAGCTACGAGGAGTTCTATTCCGAGTCTTTGTCCCGGGGCCGGCGGCGGCGGCGGCGGCGGCGCCAGCCCTCCAGAAAGACCCAGCTGGGAAAGCGTGGAAAGGAACAACTCACCCGGTCCACAGTCGCAGGCTCCCTCCCCGCCCCCCTTCTCCCGCGAGGACAAAACTCTACCCCCACCCCCACCCCCGGCAGGCAAACGGGCCACTAGGGCAGAAGAGAACGCATCGAATAGTCGTATGCAAGCACACAAACACAAAATCCCTTGAAGACGGCACGTTACAGTCAAAGGTGTTCGTGGCGCGCCTCTCCCCACGCGCGGGGGGCTAAGGGGCAGCGGGACGCAGTGGACGCCAGTCCCGGCCAGGATGTGTGAGTCCCCATCGGGTCTGTAGTGTGGCCACTTTCCCTGTCAACAGGCGATCTTCGCCTCTGGGACGCCCCCCCCCCCCTCAGCCCGCCCCCTCCGCCCGCCACCTCCAAGCGCTTGGCCCACCTGCGGGTGGAAAGCGGCCTTCGCCCCGCCGGTCTCCCCGCTTTCCACGCGAGAGTCAGCTTCCAAAGTTCTGCGCCCCCATCGCCCTGTTCTTGCCACCTGCTGCAGAGTGCAAAAGTCAGGGCGCTCGCCTATAGCCAGCTGCGAGGCCTCGCAGAGGGTGAGCGAGAGAAAAGGGTCGCTTCATCCTCAAAGGCAGAAGTCAAATACTTGACTCCGACAGGTTTGCATCGCCCAGGCGCTGAGGCCGGGGGTCGCGGCGGCGGCGAGGGGGCGGCGGCCGCGGGGCCGCAGGGCCGGTCAGTAGGGCCCCACGACCACCGCCTCCACTTCTTTCGACGGTCTCCGGTCCTTCACCAGGAAGTTGATCATGCCCTCGGACTTGATGAGCAGGTTGCAGCCGAGGAAGAAGATGCCGAAGACCACGGTGAGCGAGAGCACGCACATGACCGCGATCTGCACCACGCGCATGATGTACAGGCTGCGTTCGTCCGGGCCGCCCTCGGCGAAGCCGTCGTCGGTCACCACGGACGCCTGGGTGCAGCAGCGCACCGCGCGCTCCAGTGCCTCGCTGCTGTTGGCCAGGAACAGGCCCGCCAAGTCGGTCTGGTTGCTCAGCGCCGGATTCATGGCGGGAGAAGGCGGGCGCCCCGGGAGACGCGGGGTCCGATATGCGGGAGGAACAGGTGCCGGGCTGAGCGCTCGCTAGCTGACTTGGGCGCGCGGGGCTTGTGGCGCTCTCCTTGCCAAAGTCGTCGGTCGGGCCGTGCGAGTCTCCCGGGAGCCTCTCCGACGCGCACCGCAGCCCGGATCGTCTGCGCTGTTCGCTCCGGTCCGGGCGGTGCTCACTCGCGGCGCTCGCTCGACTGGGGGCTGTTAGAACTTGGCGGGGCTGGGCCAGTGGCGCCGTGGGAGGTGCGGGACGCGGCGGCGGCGGCGGCGGCGGCTACAGGGAGCTGCTCTGAGCGAACAGCGGCCCCCTGCGGCCGCGCCGTCGCTCTGCGCCCGCCGCCGCTGGGCGGTGGGGGAAAGCTTTTCTGGCTTGGTCTCTTTGGCAACTCCAGAGGCCAGGCAGAGGTCCCAGGACTCTTCTGATTTGCTGGACCACTGAGGAGTTTGCGGGTTAAAGGTGCGAGCAGTTGAAAGTTTCAGAGGCGCTGGAACGCTGGAGCTGTGTGTGCCGGTTGCCTGGCGCCCCTCTCACCTCTGGGCGTGTGCAAAGTGGCAAGGAAGTGCAGGTGCCAGATGGCGCTGGCCAGGGCACCAGCCTCCCTGCCGCCTGAGCCTTGCTCCGCCCCTCCGCGACCGACCCGGGTGCCCTGGGGGTGGTCTGGGAGGACCACCGTTGAAAAAGGAGCGCATTTAGAAAGAAAAGGAAGAGGGAAGATGGAAGAGAAGGAGGGAGTTGGGAGAGACAGGGAGGAAGGAAAGAAGGAACTGTAGCCCCACAACCCTTTACAAAGGCGAGGCGGCGGCAGGTTTTATAGCGGTGTTTGAAGCCGAAGAAAGAGGCTTGGAGGAGGGAGGTGTCCCTCTGTGACCCTTGTGGGGGTGGTTACCGGGAGCAGGGTCACCTCTCTGGGAAGGGAGTGGACAGAGTGACCACTTGCTTGCAATTTTAATTGCAGATGAGTTTCTGGATGTGCTTCCAGCGCTTGTGTCTGTTGGCAGTAAATCAGTTGTTTAAGGGAATTGCTCATCAACAACCATCACCTAGCATGCTGGCCAACGGCAGAAAGCCCTCCCCGCTTTCCATAAGCGGATGTATTTCACCCTTTGTCATTTTAAACCAGATGGGGTTTTTTCTTGGTGGGGGGGAATTGAACCTTCAGCCCATTCAGGTTTTGCTGTTGGTTTGGGTGAAATTTTATAAACCTGTCAGATTGAGTAATGTTAAGTTCCAAAACAATGCTTCAAACTCCCTCCCTCTCCCTCCTTTTCTTTCTCCTCCTCCGTTCTTTCAGCTTTAGGAACTGGAAACCAGTAAGTTGAAGCCTGTTGCAATCTTTTGATAGAATGCATTTACTAAGTGTCTGGTAGCTGTTTAGCTATTTTCAACTCAACTCTTAATTCCACTCTGCTTATTAAATCCTCTTATGTTTATCCTCCCAAAGTGGTTTTCCCACGTTCAGAGGTTTCCTTAAATGTTTTTGCACCACTTTCTGAGCACCATAAGATAGAATGAACTGCTTTTAACTAAGAGTTTCCAATTTGAGGATATTTATTGCCTGCCAACTTCAATGCGTTTGATTCATCAAAATTGCTGTTGTTATTTGGGATGAGAAGTGGGCCCATGAAACTGAGAACCCAAGTTTCGGGGCTCACTCAAAATTCACTGGGCTCATCCTTGTAGTTTCCCATTGTTCTGTCAGCCCTGGAGAATGCCCACTCCCAACAACTTCTTCTCTGGACACACTGATTATTGACTGGAAGGAATTTTTTGGAATCTCACTACCCATTGTATCTGAGTTAATGTGATAGTCAGATTCTTAGATCTGGGAACACTGGCTTTGCTTCTTCCAACTTTATTAATCAGCCACGGAATCACTGAATAAGAAGATGCTGTTACTCCCCATCTGTCAGTTTACATCTCTGAGTCTGTTGCCTTCACCCAACCTCACACTCGGATTTTGTTGAATGAAATCGTTTGAGTATTCCAATGGACAGCAGCTGTCTACCTAGTGGTACAAAATTCTGTTCACTCACTCACTAATGGATTCAAAGGGGCCTGGGATGCGGGAGATTCCCTACTGAAACATTTTATCTTTTCCTTTTATATTTTGAGTAAACAGCCTCTCACCTTTACTCTGTTACTTGACTGCTTCCTAGGAAAACCTTAACAAGTGTGGGACATGAAACCTCTAAGAAATGTCAACATAGAACATTAATTTCCTGAAAAATGCATGGGGATGTGGTAGTGGTGATGGGGGAGGGGAGGTGCTGATAATTCACTTTAAAGAAATGCTTTTTGAGCCGGCGCCGTGGCTCAATAGGCTAATCCTCCACCTTGCGGCGCCGGCACACCGGGTTCTAGTCCCGGTTGGGGCGCCGGATTCTGTCCCGGTTGCCCCTCTTCCAGGCCAGCTCTCTGCTATGGCCAGGGAGTGCAGTGGAGGATGGCCCAGGTGCTTGGGCCCTGCACCCCATGGGAGACCAGGAAAAGCACCTGGCTCCTGGCTCCTGCCAGGATCAGCGCGGTGCGCCGGCTGCAGCGGCGGCCATTGGAGGGTGAACCAGCGGCAAAGGAAGACCTTTCTCTCTCTGTCTCTCTCTCACTGTCCACTCTGCCTGTCTAACACAAACAAAATGAAAAATAGCAAGAAATGCTTTTTGATACTCAGAAGAACTTCTTGCTGTATTTAACTAATGACCTCTTCTACATCCTTGGAAATAGATTTGATTTTTGAGAGCTAGATACTGAGCCTTCCACAATGTACATGTTACACAAAGAGAGAAGCAAACAATTGCTTACTCAAAGAATCTGTATCTATTTCATATAATAACTTCTGCAAGGATATTCTAAGCTGATATTGATGTGGTTTGAATAGCCTTGATGTGAATCAAGGTATTTTCAATACTAAAGGCCTCTTCAGGGATTCTTTGTGTATGTGAGTATGAAAATATGAAGTAAGCATTTTAGAAAAAGAATACTGTACATTGAAAAGATTTTTTTTTTGCTTTGGTGAAAGCTTTTTAAAATATAGTATATTATACAGTGTAAATAAGAATAAGAGCAAAATCTCATATATTCAGAAGACACTTATAAAAGATTCAGTACCTGAAACAGAGGAAGAAACTGGAAATAAGCAAAAAAGGTCATTGAACCACCAGAGATCCTGGGGGCCAGATGCCTAAGCTTATATGTTTTACTCTCAGATTGATCCTTCACATTCTCTCTCAGAACCTGTGCACTTCTGTGTTTCACACAGTTTTATCTCTACTCTTTTCTGTTTTTCTCGACGACAGGATATTGGAATCAAAGCATGCATTGGGGAAGAAATGACCAGAGGTAGGTGTTTGTACAATCATGAGCATTGTAACACTGGATGGAAAAAAAAAAAAAAAACTAATACGTTAAGCAGCACATACAGCTATTCCTAAGACCATAGAGTGTTAACTTTGGAAATGTTTACTAGAGAGAAACAGTTTGGTGGCAAGAATGTGTGAAGGTATGGCGTTGGTCCTGCTGCCTCTCCTCTCCTCCTAGTGGTGTGATATGGGGCAGATGTTAATTGTATTTTTCACTGCAGATTTTTTACCTCCATGTACCTCATTTACTTACCTGTGAAATGGGGATAACATTACAATGGTTTTTGAAAGGGTTCTATTCTATGGGAATTACTGGGAAAGGTATCTAGCACATTGCTGGATCTCAAATAGATATGTTTGCAGTAGTTCCTGAGGGGGCATCAGTGTGCCTAATTCATTAAAAGAAAAGAAAAAAAAAAAAACAACTCGTGTTAAAAGTTGCTCAATAGTTTCCTCTGACGAAGACTGGAAAGTGAGTGATATACTTTAAAAATATTTCTATGTAAAGTCACTGACCTTGTTAAGTAAAAAGAAAATGCTTTGCATTGTAGATAAATTGGAACCCTTGTGCACTGCTATTGGAAATATAAAATAGTGCAGCCACTGAGGGAAGAATTATGGTGGTTTCTGCCAAAATTAAACATAGAGTTGCTGTATGATTCAGCAATTCTACTTCTAGGTATATACACACCCCAAAATTGAAAACATGAATTTGAACAGATATTTGTTTATCCATGTTAGCAATATTTTTCAAAATACCCAAAATATTTAAACAAACTAAGAGTCCATTAAAAAATTAGATGAACAAAATGTTGCATACACATAAATGAAATATTATTCAGCAATAAAAAGAAACAAGGTGGGGGGCTGGCACTGTGGCATAGTAGGTAAAGCTGCCACCTACAGTGCTGACATCCCATATGGGCCCAGGTTTCAGTCCTGGCTGCTCCACTTCTAATCCAGCTCTCTGCTATGGCTGGGAAAGCAGTAGAAAATGGCCCAAATCCTTTGGCCCCTGTACCCACATGAGAGACCAGGAAGAAGTTCCTGACTTTGAATCAGCTGAGCTCTGGCCATTGTGGCCATTTGGGGAGTGAACCAGTGGATGGAAGACCTCTCTCTCTCCCTCCCTCTCTCTCTCTCCCTCTACCTCTCTGTAATGCTGCCTTTCAAATAAATAATAAATAAATCTTTTTTTAAAAAAGAGAGAAATGAGGGGCAGGCATTTCACAGATTGATAAGACACCTTCTCATGTGACTGCCACTTGATGCATCTGCATCCTGCAGCGAAGTGCCTGGTTTGAATCCCAGCTCCGTGTCAGATCCTAGTTTGCAGCTGGTGTACATCTTGGGAGGCAGAAAGTAAAGGCTCATTTCTCTGGCACCCCTGTGGGAGATCCAGATTGGCTTCTGGGCTCCTGGATTTGGCCTGGACCATTTGATGTGGACATTTGGGGAATGGACCAGTGGTTGGCAGGTAACCCCCCTGCCCCCCACCGTTGACTTTCAAGTAAAAATAACTCAAAAATTTTAAGATGGAATGAAATTCTGACACGTAATACAACATGGCTGAATTTTGAAGGCATTTTGCTAAATGAAATAGGCCAGGACAAATATTGTTTGATTCCACTTATATAAGGTCCCTAGAATAGTCGAATTCATAAAGACAGTGTTGAATAGTGGTTACCAGGGTCTGGGAAAAGGGAGAAATAGGAAATTATTTTTAACCTATATGTTTG